AAATATTTTAAATCTAAAGCACCATTGAGCATAAGGGAAATTTCTATATTTTGGACCAACACTAGGATCATAGCCTAAACAAGATGCATCATTCATATCCATAATATGTAAAAATATACAAGCAAGATAATAATAAAATCACAAAACTAGATTAGCACAAAAAGATAACTTGGATCTTTAACTCAAGGCGATTAGACCTTAAATCAAAGAGCACCAAGCTCTGATACCAATTGTTGTACCCCAAGGTTTCTATGAAAGAACCCTAAAGGGGGGGTGAATAGGGTTTATGCTAATCTAATCCGATTTTACGCCAATTAAAACTAATTAATAAATTATTCTTACAAGATAGATATACAATGTGATATGAGCAAGAATAAACATAACTAAGGTGATATATCCTAGCAATGAGATATACTATATGGTATATGCAAGGATATATTTAAACTATCACAAGGGTGAAACAAACTAGTGGACAATATAAACAATATGCAATAGGCTATAAGATGAACAGTTATAAGTGCGCCAATGCAAACCAAACACGCTATATGTTCACGAGGTTCGGACCTTCTGTCCTACGTCCCCGCTCCCCACTCTCAAGGAAAATCCACTACACAACCCGGTTTGGAAGCCGAAACTTCTCTACACACTCGGTTTTCTAGCTAACCGAAAACTCTACACACTCGGTTATCAAGTCAACCGATAACTCTCACAAATCCTCACAATGTACATACACAAGCTACAACCTCAAGTGTTGGTCCTCACTTATCGACTCCCTCTAGTGCTCAGAATTATCACCTCTCACTAGGCCACCGACGCCACTCCTCTCGGTATCGACTCTGTCCTCACCACACACTCCTCTCGGTGTACAAGTATATTACAAAGTGAATTTTACAAATTAAGCACAACAAATGATTGTTCTCTAAACAAGGTGAGAACTCATTTAGGCTCAACTCAATGTTACTATCTCTCACAACCCCAAATATATTATGAATGCAAATACAATAAGCTTAAGTGGGTGTGTGTAACAATGAGATTAATCAAATCTAAACTCAATATAAAACTAGCTTTAATAAGATGATAATCAAACAAATAAATATAAAGCTAGAAAAGAGTTTAGAAAACTTTTCAATAAATAACAAGAGATGGAGGGGGAATAGTTGATTGCTCAAACTCCAATAGATGTTCTCCTCAAGCTCTTGTGGAATTAAATTCACAAACTCAAACTCGAAAATGCTTAAAAGCTTCTTAAACAAACTTAAACAAACTTAAACCATTGTTTAAAACTCTTTTAAACTTGTTTAAAATATTTTATTAGTTAGATATCAACGATGAGAGCAAGGAGGTATATATAGTCACCCAAAACCTCAGCCAAAACCCAACTAAAAAGACAAAAAAACCCCCAAGAAAACATTGCTGGAAACTAGCCGTTACTATGCAACGGCTCTTTCATAAGTCGACTTATGAGTCGACTCATGAGTCGACTTATGAGTCGACTAATGAGTCGGCTTATATGAGTCAACTCAGCAGAAGAAAAATCACAACTCCGCTGCACTTCGTGAGTCGACTTATGAGTCGACTCATGAGTCGACTAATGAGTCGACTAAACATGCACAGACCTGAAGTGCACAAAAAAAACTCAACTTTAAACTAGGTTTAAAAATATTAAACTTTGGGAGATGATTGTAGACATGATAATAAACATGCTACAAAAATTAGTTTTTAAAAAGGACCTCCTAAATGAGAAATATCATCATTTTACAAAATAGTCTAAAACATAAAAATGTGAACACATGAGTTTTGACATTTTAGTTTAACCATGTTTTGAAACTTTACAATGATTTTGTGGACTTAATGAATGATTGTTAAGTCCATAAACCATAAAAACAATATTTTCTTAAAATTGCATATTCTATGCAATATATTCTCAAACAAAATAGAGTATGAAACATATGATTATATATATATATATATATGAATGTAAATTTGTTTCATATCTATATAGCTAAACCAAAACAGAATAATAAATATGTAATCTCATATTTATAAACATGAAAACTCAAAACTATGTATGTATATATATATATAACTATATATATACATAGAAACATATATGTATATGTATGACTACATATACATAGAAACCAAAAACTAAAATATGTATATATATAACTATGTATATATATATATATATATATATATATATATAACTTAGGATGAAGCTTGAACTTGGATCTTCAACTTTGAATAGCAAGGCTTCAACCACTATTCCGTCAACCTCCATTTGATATGATCGTTATGGCGCAATCCATCCATCCTCCAACATGTTGTTTGTCTATAATAAATAAGAAAACATAAATACTAGACAAACAACATTAGTGATAAATTGTTTGTTAAATATCATCAAAATAAAGAGGCCAACTGGAAAATGAAGATTTATTGAACCCCCTGAGGAGGAAATCTTCTAATATGGAACAAGCAGAGAGTTTTATAGATGCAATGAGCTTGTTCAATCTTGTAGGAGCTCCGCAGCATCTCCCAGTAAATGGGTGAGTAATTCTTACTCTCTGAAGGCCTATTTTGTTGTTGGTAACTCTTACAGTTGTTCATTTTATCATTCTCTGGTCTCTTGTTTTTCCTGCAGAATGTTGCAGCCAAATCAATTGGACTCTGGTTTCAGTCAAAAGAGATAAGACTTTGGCCAGTAATGCTTCTTCTCTTATGACTTTGGTCAGTATTGCGGTAGCAGTGAACTCCGGTGTAGTCGACAGCGAGGCGGGGAGTGGCGGCGAGTTACGGCGACGAGGTCGGGCGGGGGAGAGAAGGGGAGGCGGCGGCGAACTCGAATGGAGCCTTGGGGGCCTGGGCGGAGGCGGCAACGATGAGGAGGGCAAGGACCAGGGCGGCGAGCTTGAGAAAACCCTTGGTTTTAGAGAGAGAGGGAGAGAGAGAGGGAGAGAGAGAGAGGAGATGAGAGAGAGAGAGAGAGAGAGAGTAGATGAGTACTGGGTCTGAGGGATTGAGGAGAGGGGATAATGATATTTTGGGGATTTTAGCTTAGCTGGCATGTAATAATTGCTAAAAAGGGACTGCAGCAAAAAATTTCACACTTCAATGGGCTGAACCACATGAGGGAAACTAGGAGGGGCTGCAGCACATGAAGTTTCTGCTTTTGGGGCCCAACACATTTTTCCCATAAAAATATTGTTTGGAAACATATTTGCTTTCGTATCAATATCCACATTCTTAATTTGTAAATAATAGAAATATGATAAGCATTCTATCCGCATCCAATTCGTTTGCATCCCAATCTAACAGCCCCGTCAAACTGTCAAGCTAGTCGCTATTGAGTGAGTGAACCAGAGTCCAGAGAGCAGCTCCTCCAAGTAGATTTCACTAGCATAGCATCAGCAGTGATAGAACCCCTACCTGTCATCATCAAAGAATTAAAGGCCCACAGGAGGAAGGCAACAAATGAAGCATTGAGGTGATGAGGCCTCAATAAGGGGGTGTTCGGTTCAACGGTGGGCAAGAATAAGATTAGCAATCTTATATTATTTTTTATGGATTCTTAGCTAATCCATAAAAAAATTTTAAGACAATTTTATGTTGTCGTGAAATTCTTTTTTTTATTTCTATGTTTGTTTCATTACATGAAAAAATAGAATCAAACTTTATAGAAACCCTCAAACTCTTATTATTTAGTTTGATTTGAAATGAGAATAGGATTTGATCTTATAATAATATAGGGTTTGTGAAGAAACAGAATCCGAAAAGAAGAGAGAGGGAGAATAGTACAAATGCATTAGCTTTCTACCCTAAATCCGCCCAAATCATTAGAATTTAGGTTTCTATAAAATCAGCATATTTTTCTTAACTTTATAGGTTCAGAAATCTATAATTTTTTGGGAACTAAACTCAAAAATAAGATTCATAAAAAATCTTTTATTTATAATTTTGTCATTGTCAAAATCAAATCCTATTCTTTTTTCATGAAAATGGTGAAACAAACCGCATCTAACACTACTCCAGTTTGTGAGAAAGATGGAGCGTTAACTTTAGCCGACATTTGCAGATTTTCAATACATAAAAAGTGAAAAGAACAGGAATATGAAGGAAAAGATGTCAGGGTGATGCCATTGCCAGGATCTCCACAAGGGTGAATCATTAAGGGTACGCACTTTACTTTGAGAAAAGGGAATAAATAAATAAATACGTGATTGAAATAAAAAAAAACAAAACAAGGTGAGCGGAGTAGCTTCACTTGTGGGAGTTGGAGACAGCCTAGAAAATGGACGTCACGTCAGGGTCTTGGCCGACCAGACATGAAGTCGTGGCAGAGGTCCCTCGCACTTGAGCGCTTCTCAACACAGCTAAACATCCATGCGTCTGCAAATAAAACTTTGGATCTGGACCACCTCAATCATGTCAGGGCATATAAAAATCACCTCAGTCTGACCAAGGATGGCGGTCGGTTCAATCTGAAACAGAATTAGGGCTCTACCGATCGAGTCCGTCAGGATTAGGATTTTGGACTCGTGAGATCTTAGACCCGATATTAGGGTATCTCCAACCCATTACATCAAAATAGTACAAACTTTACATCAAAATGGTGCAAAAGTCACGTCTAACAGTAATTCATCTTCAACCCATTGCACCATTTTTTACACTAAAAAAGAATATTCTCAATATCTTTCTTTTTATCTACTTTTATATTATTATTTTTTATTCCCTATATTTTTAACTATTTCAACAATTAACCCCACATATCAAATTTTATTTTTTCACATATTTTCCAAACAAAATGATTTATTATTTAAAAAATTAAACTAATAAAACAATAAAATATTATTTTATTAAGTAAACTAACTTGATTGCTAAAATATTATATTTTTATTATTGATATTACCAAAATATTACATTCAAGAACACAACAGAAAATAAAATACAAGAAAATAATTAAACATTAACAACAATATAAAAATTACAAATTTAGTATGCACTTAACTATCTGAATTAGTGTATTCCTCCCATAGATGATCTATCAATGCATTACGAAGCGCAATATGGGCATCTTTATCCTTGATTTTTCCGTAACGTGCAATAAATTGAGTAAATTTTGTAGTTTCATCTGCTACCATATCAACTTCTGGTGTTGGTGCTTCCCTCACTTCTTGAATTGGTGCATAAAGATCACGTTCATCCTCGATTATCATATTGTGCATAATAATGCATGCAGTCATTATGTCATGTAATACATGTTTTTTTCCTAAAAACGTGTTGATCCTGTTACAATTGCAAATCATGATTGGAGAACTCCAAACGCACGTTCTACATCTTTTCTACATGCTTCCTGTTTCATGGCAAAATATTTTTTCTTCCTACCTTGTGGCTGTTGGATTATTTGTACAATAGTAGCTCATTTTGGATATATACCATCAGCTAAATAATAACCCATATTATACTCTTTTCCTTGAATAACATAGTGAGCGGGAGGAGCAATACCTTGAGCTAGGTTAGAGAAAAGATTAGATGACTCCAGCACATTGATATCATTATTGGTGCCTGGCATACCAAAATATACGTGCCATATCCAAAGATCATAATCTGCCACAGCTTCGAGGATAATAGTTGGTGACCCACTACGTCCTGTGTATTGCCCAGACCATGCTGTTGGACAATTTTTCCATTTCTAATGCATACAATCAAGACTTCCTAACATTCCTGGAAAACCACGTTTTTTACCAATATAAAGTAGCCTAGCAATATCGTTAGAATTAGGTGTTCGTAGATACCGCTCTGCGAATATCTCCACCATAGCACGACAAAATCTTTTCATACTTTCAATTGCTGTTGACTCACCTATTTTAACGTATTCGTCCGTAGCATCAGCTGGTAGACCGTATGCCAACATGCGAAAAACAGCTGTTACTTTCTGTAACGGTGATAATCTCATTCTACCAAGTCCATCACTTCGTTGTTGGAAGTAATGGTCATGATCTTTCACTGCATCAACAATACGAATGAACAAACTTCTTGACATCCGATATCGACGACGAAACATATCTTCTCCAAAACGTGGATTATGGAAAAAGTAATCTATGACCAAATTCTGATACGCATTTTCTCGATCGCGGTTGATCACTGCATGACCGGGAATCGAGCCACCATGGATCGGTTGGTAGTTTTGTTGACGTAAATTGTTAGCGATGATCATGTTGTTGTTGTTGTTGATGTACTCACAAATTACTTCTTCGGTTTTATCCATCTCTGCAATGATATTGGTCAGAAAATTATCATCATCCGAAGATGAAGATGATGATAAATATGATGGACCTCCAACATCGAAATTAATTTTTGGAGTAAGAAAAGAATGATTGAGGTATGCAGAAATAGAGAATAATAAATTTAACACAACCCCGAATAATTGTGTGGATGTACCTAATCTAGTATGCTATTTATAAAACTTTGCTGAGCTGTGTATACTTGAACATTGTGTAAAGCTGACCAGTTTTCAAAAAAATGATTCCCACTCGTACAAAGCTTTCACACAATTCAAAGAAAGCTGAGCTGTGTATATGTTGGACAATGTGTAAAGCTGATCAGTTTTCAAAAAATGATTCCCACTCGTACAAAGCTTTCACACAATTCAAGGAAAGCTGAGCTGTGTATACGTTGGACAATGTGTAAAGCTGATCAGTTTTCAAAAAATGATTCCCACTCGTACAAAGCTTTTACACAATTCAAGGAAAGCTGAGCTTTGTATACGTTGGACAATGTGTAAAGCTAAAGCTGATCAGTTTTCAAAAAATGATTCCCACTCGTACAAAGCTTTTACACAATTCAAGGAAAGCTGAGCTGTGTATACGTTGGACAATGTGTAAAGCTGATCAGTTTTCAAAAAATGATTCCAACTCGTACAAAGCTTTTACACAATTCAAGGAAAGCTGAGCTGTGTATACATTGGACAATGTGTAAAGCTGATCATTTTTTAAAAAATGATTCCCACTGACAACGTTGGACAATGTGTAAAGCTGATCAGTTTGTCCACAACGATTCAATTTCAAATGTTGACCACCGACAAATTCAAATTCAAACAAAAAAATAAATAAATTTGGATTGGCTATAAATAACATTCACGGTTTCTACTTCAAGCCACCCAATTCGAAGTATTTCTTCAAAGTATTTCTAATCTCCAAACCAACCGCTTTTTACAAAAAAAAATGTCTGTTCAATCATCTGGATACACTATTAACTGAAGATGTGCTCCTTTGTCAAGTATTCTTGGATATTTCTCAAGACCCTATTATCGGTAGAAACCAGTCTCGAGATGCATTTTGGTCTCGTGTGGAGGACAAATACAATGAACTTCGAGACCAAAATTCTGATGTGCGTACGAGCCGATCAATTCGTTCTCGAATGGAAATCATAAGTAATGAAGTAAGAAAATTGAATGCGTGCTTGAGACAAGTAGAGAATCTGAATCCAAGTGGTGCTTCAGATGAAGACATTGTAAGTATTCTATTAATTATCGTTTGAAATTTATTATTATTGTTGAAAAACATAACTTGATGTTCATTACAATTTGCAGTTAGTTCAAGCAAAGATGTTATTTATGCAAGAGCCAAAGTACAAAAAAGGTTTCAAATTTGATCATGTCTGGAATATGGTTAAAAATTTTGAAAAATTTAAAGATGATGTCCCCACAGCAAGACAAGTTGGTCGAAGACAACCCCAAAGTGTGAACTTCGACTCGTCACAATCAGATAATCCCACTCCGGAATCTCCTATATCAACATCTCCTGGACTGTCATCATTTACTCCATCTGAACGACCTATTGGGGTAAAAAAAGCCAAATTGAAAAGAAAAAATGATGATCATGAGTCAAGCGTAGTGGAATCCATCGAGACCTCCAACAACCGACTTATAGACAGGTTAGACACGGCGAGCTTGGACAGGCAGGTAGCATTTGATATCGAACGAGAAAAGATAGCTATGAAAAAAGATAGAGATGAATGGAAAATTATAATGAAAGATTTGAATTCCATTGCTGATCCAAACGTGCGGGAGTACGTTCGAGCTCAACAGATTAAAATAATACAAAAAAGAAATCAACAAGAACAAGGGTCTGCTTCTAATTTTGGCAATTATTTCAATGATATTGGACACTCTGGCCCCGATCTACCAGAGTATTGAGAGTTGCTTAATGTTCCATGTTTAGTTTGTATGTTTAGTTTGTATTTTATGTTTTATTTTAATGAAGTTTTATATTATGTGTGTCAGTTTTTATATGTTATACATTTCAGATATGTAATTTATATTTGAATTATGTATTATGATTGCTCTTTATAATTCATGGGACTTTACTTATAATGTCTAGATTTTAATATTATAATTAATAATAATGTCTTTTAAATTTTAGCATTATTTTTAGCCATAAAAAATAATTTATTTTGTCTAAATTATACAATTATGGTAAAAGTATAAAATTTAAATATTATTGTGGTTGTTTTATACATTTAATAAAACAATTGGGGTCAATTTGTGAATACATAAAAGTATGATTTAAAAACCAAAAATTGAAAAATAAAAAAAATAAAAGGAAACAATAATGGGGGGATGAACAGTGCGACACCAAATATAGCGTCGCGCTGTTCATCCCCGCTAAAATGCAGCGAAGAATGACGCTGCGTTGGAGCTCCGGAGCAGCGGCAAAATAGCGGTTTGCGGCAAATTGGCGTCGCGTTGGAGATGGTCTTAGGGAAGAGAGAGTTATTATTTTAAAGTCCCTTCCAATATACCACAACAAGAGTTTATGATAATCATAAGCATTGAGAATTACGTTTTGTACAAGTATTTATTCATGTATCAAAATATGGACTAGCACACAAATTAAATGTATGCATTCAATGAGCGTCTCGTAGTACGTAGATTCTTGTCTAGTGACAAGAAGAAGGTGTTGTTGTTGGATTTAAATCTAATTAAATCTATTTGTAGGCATATATGATTAATTTTTGTGTATTGTTATCATTGAGGATAACCCACTTAAAGTGATCAATCAATTTGGGTTAATGAGTATTTAAATAAATCATGGGTTAAATGTGCAGATACCATGTTATAATTGTGATTTGATGAGGGATCAAATTATAAATATACAACACCTATATATATATATGAGCTTATGGTCCCTAATCTAGGGTTAACCACTCTCATTCTCTTATCCCCATCTAAAAAGAGTCATAAGGGAGAAACCCTAAGATTAGAAGATCATCAAAACCCTAACTCAAATCCAAGCAATGGATTCAGGTATAGCTTCCGCTCTTGTTGTTTAATCTCTATGATTTAATCACGATTAAGGATAACAAGTGGTATCAGAACCACCCGTGATTAATTCTTGGGGGTTTAAGATTTTAAAATTTGTGTTTTTTGATATTAATCTGCGGTTTTTCATAACTGTTCATGGATGAACAGTAAAAATTCGTTTTTGTTTGGTTTTTTCTTTTAATTTTCTGGATCTGGACAAGTCTTGGATCCAGTTGTTTGAACTGGTTATGAATTAAAATCGAAAGCAAAATCAGTTTTTGGATTTAGTTTGTCGTCAAGCGCCACGCTCCTCGCCAGCGATGTTCAGCTGGCGACCTCGCTGTCAATTGAAGACGGCAGCGGCGGCATCAGGAAATCCTAGGGTTTCAACCCTAGGGTACGGGAGCAATAGTGGCGGCGGCGGCCATCAAGAACAAACCCTAATAGGGGTACGGGAGCAATAGTGGCGGCCACGGCCATCTAGAACAAACCCTAATAGATGCAGGAATTAGGGCAAAAGGAGGAGGTTACCTCGACTTCAAGCGAGTTTCGGGCTTGAAAGCTTCAGCAAACTTTGGTTTGCTTCAGACGAGCCTCGTGCTCGATTCAAACAAACCTCGTATTCGTTCTCAAACGAACCTCATGTTCGTTCTCAGCGAGCCTCGTGCTCAATTCAAATGAACCTCGTGTTCGTTCTCAGCGAGCCTCGTGCTCAATTCACTCGAACCTCGTGTTCGGAATCGGGCGAACCTCGGGTTCAACTCAAGCGAGCTTCGGCTCGACTCAGATGTAGTCGACGTTCGTTGTAGGCGAGCTCAACCTTCGGATCTCAAGTTGAGCGAGCTTCATGTTCGCTGCGGGCAAGCTTCGGTTTTATCGAGCTTCAGCCGTTAATTTTAGGCGAGCTTGAGATTTTTTTTTCTCGTCGGCTCATTTGGGATTTGACGAGCTTCGTCGGGTTTAAGAAGAACAGCGAACTTCAGTTCGCTCTCGTCAATGGAGACATAAGAGAACTTTTCTCAGGCCGAAGCCCACTTAACAATCAAGTTATGGGCCTGTGAAAAGTTTTATGGGCCCTTTTGTTTTAATTAAAGTTGTGGATTATTTTTTCAAATAATTGTTTAAGTTGAAGGGCCTTGTTTAATTTGGGCCAGGTTGATTTAAGGATTGTTTGAATTCTCAATTAATTTCATTTGATTACTGGGCCGACAGTTGACTTATGTGTTGGGTCTGGACTAGTCAAATAATTAATTGAGTTAAGTACATATTAAGTTATGGGTCCTCTTTGGTATGCTTAATTTAATTAAATTAAGTTATGGGACCCTATTTAAGCTATGGAAATTAATTTAATTTAAATTAAATTATTTAATTTGAATTAAATTTGGTAGTTAATCAATTACTTAATTCAAATAATATGACACTAAGGTATTATATTTGTCTCTCATTCCAAATGATTAATTGAAACAAGAAGTTGTCAAAGTAACCTCTCTTGTATAAATTATTCATGATGGATGTTATATGGTTGTGTGTATGTTTTTATGTAGATATTTAATCGGTCCAAAGGAAGGTTAATATTTATTTAGACTACATACACATCTGTGATGATAAACGTGTGACAATTATAAGGTTCACATGTGAATAATGAATCGATACAAAGATAGTTTCATTATTTGATATGAGTTATTGTCAATGTTTGATCATTGCAACAATGTATCACTTACAAATTAATATTAATGTCCAAAGACTTGATACTAATATTGTGCCAGATATCTTGAGATGAGATTTGTTATTATTTGAATTTTATTGATTACTAATTACAGTTAATAATGTAAGTATCTTTTGTTTATTTTAGCTAATGCATCTGCTGCAACAATTTCTGCTAACATCAACTCAATTTCCATACTCAATGGGACTAATTTTAATGTTCGGAAAGAAAACATATTAATTGTTCTTGGCTGCATGGATCTAGACATTGCATTAAGAACTGAACAACCCCAACCTCTCAATACGGATAGCACTCCTAATGTTAAAAAGGAGTATGAGAAATGTGAGCATTCAAATCGCATGAGTCTGATGATCATTAAGCGCGGTGTTCCGGAAGCTTCAGGGGCATAGAATCCGAAGGGATTACTAAGGCTAAATATTTCCTTACCAAAATTAAGAAACATTTTGCAAAAACCGATAAGGTAGAAACAAGCACGCTTTTAGCTCGCTTGATTTCAATGAAGTATAAGGGTAAGGGAAATATCAGGGAGTACATTATAGAAATATCTCATATTGCTTCAAAACTTAAGATACTTAAACTCGATCTTTGTGATGAGTTACTGACGCATCTGGTTCTCCTTTCTCTTCCTACACAATTCAATCAGTTTAAGGTCAGTTATAACTGTCAAAAGGAGAAATTGACTCTAAATGAGCTCATTTCAAGGTCAGTTATAACTGTCAAAAGGAGAAATTGACTCTAAATGAGCTCATTTCATACTGTGTGCAAGAAGAAGACAGAATGAGCTCATTTCATACTGTGTGCAAGAAGAAGACAGGTTAAAGCAAGATAAGACAGAAAGTGCTCATCTGACTTATGCCTCTAAGGATAAGGGAAAGAAAAAAAAGAATGATAATGAAGCTGTTAAGGGTCCTATTCAGAAGAAACAATATAAGGATGATTAGGATTGTTTCTTCTACAACAAATCTGGACACGTAAAGAAGGACTATACCAAATATCACACTTGGCGTGCTAAGAAGGGTATGTTCCTTACTTTGGTCTGTTCTGAGGTTAATTTAGCAGTACCTAGAAACACTTGGTGGTTAGACTCTGGTACTACTACTCACATAAGTGTTTCTATGCAGGACTGCCTGAGACCGAAAGCCAAGTGATGTTAAAAGACACATCTTTGTGGGCGACGAACAATCGGTAGACGTGGAAGTAATTGGGCACTTTAGGTTGCTATTAGGAACTGGTTCTTATTTGGATTTGAAAGATACTTTTGTAGTACCATCTTTTAGACAGAATTTGGTTTCTGTTTCTGTATTGGACAAATCAGGTTATCATTGTTAATTTAGAAACAACCAATTCAGTTTATCTTTAAATTCAAATGTTATAGGAACTAGTTACTTGAGTACTTATGACAACCTATATTTATTTGATACAATTACTTCTTATAATGAAACCTTGTATGTGGAATCATGTGGTACTAAGCGTAAATTAAATAAGGAAAATTCAACAACATTATGACATAAGCGCTTGGGTCATATCTCAAAAGTTAGAGTTGAGCGTCTTATGTCTAATGTCATTTTGAATTCCCTTGATTTTTCGAATTTTAACGTTTATGTTGAATGTATCAAGGGAAAACAGACCAAAGTTAAGAGATTAGGTGCTAATAGATCTTCAGAAGTCTTAGAATTGATACATACAGATATTTGTGGGCCATTCCCTATGGCATCTTGGAATGGTCAATAATACTTTATATCATTCATAGACGATTACTCACGTTATGGGTACCTATATCTCATTCATGAAAAATCTGAGTCTCTGGACATGTTCAAAATTTTTAAAGCTGAAGTTAAGAATCAACTCAACAAAAGAATTAAAACCGTTAGATCTAATCATGGTGGTGAGTACTACGGTAGATATGATGGTTCAGGTGAAAAACGTTCAAGACCATTTACTAGATACCTGGAGAAATGTGATATCATCCCACAGTACGCCATGCCAGGTTCACCTAGCATGAATGGTGTAGCTAAAAGACGAAATAGGACTCTTAAGGATATGGTAAGAAGTATGATTGCTCATTCTTCTTTACTAGAGTCACTCTGGGAAGAAGCACTAAAGACAGCAGCTTAAATTCTGAATAGAGTACCAAGTAAATCAGTTGCTAAAATACCTTATGAGCTTT